CCAAACACACACACACACACACACACAGACACACACACACACAGAGGAGCTGGGAAGAGGGCCGAACCTAATACTGTCCTGAGACCTGGCAATGGAGCCCCTGCTCTGAGCTCTGGCCCTTAGGAGGTTCCTCGTTTTAGAGAGACTTCCTCAAAGGTGGTTTTCCTCTGGTGTCTGAGACTATCTGAGACTGTTTGTGCCTAGCAGTGCCATCTGGACAGGGTCCCATGAGCCCAGACAGGAACCTACATGGGCCTTGGTCTGTGGTCTCATCCCACCTCTTTGGGTTCTCTCCACCCTCTACCTTGTGCATTGGGTTGACCAGATGTCTCCATTTGTTCTGGGCTTTAGGACTTGTTCTTATGTGGTTGTCCCAGGGCTCTAGAGCCAGTTCCAGTTACTGGAGGGGGCCTGTAGGGAAGATTGCTCTTGTTAGCAGGTATGACATTTCTTTTGTGGGATTGTGTAAGGTTGGATGCCAGAAGGGTGCTGACACTCTGCCACACACAGCTGAGGAGCAGCCCTGCCTGAACCCATCCATACATCAAAGAGGCATTAGGGAATTGAATCACCTCCCCCACCTGTGTTGGTTTGTGTGGAAAAGGAGAAAGACGGAGGAGTCTGAGGAGAGAGTGAAGGGGAGCCCATTTCCTCTGCTCTTCCTTTTAGTATATCTGTGATTGAAGGCTGGCTCTCTTGACTCTCTAGTACCAGGGTTTGCCTCAGGCCTCTGGGAAGTGAGACATCGACAGGCACTTGCCTAGTGGAGGAGCAAATGAATGCCTGAAAGTGGAAGTTCCCACTGGGGAGGGATGTGGCCCATTAACTCTCCTCACAGAACTCAACCAAAGTGTCTCTTAGATCTGAACCTGGGGTTTTTTTGGTTTGTTTTTTGGGTTTATTTTTTATGACAGCTTCTAGGGATGGGACCTCAATATGTTCTATTCCACCCTATAAAATATAAAAGTGTGCTTCAGAACAAACTGCTGGGCCACCTCCCCAAGCACTTCAGACACCTTCTGAGTGTGGTCCTGACGTTCTCCCACACCATTTTGTACTGAATTTAACTTGAACTTCACTGAACTCAACACAATATTTAGTTAATATTTTAATTAATATTTTATTTTTTAAAGATTTATTTATTTATTTTAGAGAGAGAGAGAGCGGCAGGGAGAGGCAGAGGGAGAGGGAAAGAGAGGGTATCTCAAGCAGACTCCCCGCTGAGCGGGGAGCTCGATGGGGGACTCGATCTCACAACCCTGAGATCATGACCTGAGCTGAAATCAAGAGTCAGATGCTTAACCAACTGAGCCACCCAGGTGCCCCTTTAATTAATATTTTAAAACTTATTTATAATCTGTCTTCCTCACTAGAATATAAACTAATTGAGGCCAAGGATGGTGCATGTCTCATTCCCAGTTGACTAGAACAGTTCACAAGGTAGATGCTCAACAAATATTTTCTAATGGTTAAATGAATGATTTTATCACTGGATTTCTGTTTGGTAGACTAATTGCCCATGTGCATTCTATATTCTCCTTTTAAATTCTTAGGTCCTGTTTATGTTTGAAGGAACTTCTTGTGTATTGCTAATGTTTCTTTCCTTGAAATGGTCTGCTGCCTTTACCTTGCCTTTCCATTCAGTCCAGTCCCACTAACATCTCTCAAGTTTGGTGGTCTGGGGTGCAGGTTTCTGAGACATGCAGACTGGGGAGGGTCTGAATCCTGGCTCTACAATTGTCTACTTGTGTGACCTTGGGCAAGTTATTTACCTTACCAAACCTTAGTTTCTCTGTCTGAAATACAAGGACAAAAACATCTACTTCATAGAGTATTATGGTATGATACATCTTACTGCTCGGTAAGTGGGCACACTGCCTGATGTGCTGTAAGAGCTACAGCTGTTAATACTGCTTTTTGCTCAGTGCCTAATGCTAACCATTGGTCTGTGTTAACGACTGACAGTACAGAGATGAACAAGATGCCTTTTAAATCTCCCAGTCCAGACAGAAATGGCCTGAGCACCAGACCTGGGTGTGAGGGTGAGGCAGGACTGGTTCTCAGGCCTCAGAGCTTGGAGCAGAGGCATGAGTGAAAGATGGAACTGTGGGGGGGGGGAGTCAAAACCCCAACCCTAAAAGGTGAGTCGATGGTCCTAAAAGGATGGGCAGGGTGAGACTCTCAGAAGAGAGTGTAGAGACAATGGGCCCAGGGGTGGCAAGTGGAGGCTGGAGCAGTCCCTGAGTTGCAGGTTCTTTTAATAAAGCTTCGAGACCTCAGGTGTAGTGTGAGAGAGGTGTTAAGGGCTGGCCAGACACTGTTGTCAAGGAGTTTAGAGTCTAGTAAAGAAAACTGATGTGTAAGCAAACAATATTATAAACAGGGGTAAGTGTGCACGCAGAGTCTAGAGGAAGCACAGAGGAGGGAGTGATTACTGCCAGGGCATGGGAGGGAAGGTGTGGTGGGTGTGGCAGGAACTAAGGAAGGCTTCAGAGGGGAATAGCCTAGGAGGATTTTGGAGGATGAGAAAGAATTTAGTGGGGGTGAGGGATGGAGTAGGTGGAGGGTTGGGACCTAAAATGGAGGAATGAAGCAGAATAGTATGTTTGGGTGTTTTCAAGGCTCTGTTATGATTAAGGCTTTATCTGGACTGTCAGGGGTGCATGGATGAGGCTGGAGGGGCATTTTGGGATCCTTTCCAAATGGACAGGTTAGGCTCATGTTTCTTTACTGAGAGCAGGTCCCACTTGGGATGAAGCAGGCCCCCATGATCCCTGAGGCACCCCCTCTCCTGTTCTCCTCAGTCTGGGTGGGCTGGGTAGGAATATTGGCTTTGGAGTCTCACAGAACTATGCCTTTTATCAGTTGTGGGGCACTGAGAAAAGCATCTCACCTTTCTAAACTTAGAGTTTCCTCATCTGTAAAACAGGGATAAAAAGTGGTGCACACTTGACAGCGTTGTTGTAATAATCAAATGAGATAATGCACATAAAGGGCTTAGTATTGAAACCACTACATAACATGCACTTGGTACAGAATGGGAAGCATCATTCATTCACACATGCATTGGTTCACCATTTAGCATCAGACATGGGGAATACAGGTATGAACAAGGTCCAGTCCCTGCCCATAAGAAGCCTGTGCTGAGTATTTGTGTGGGAGTGAAGACAAATAAACAGGTGATTACCACACATGTGATGGGTGCTGTGGCGAAGGCGCCCACAGGGTGTTGACGGGAGCACAGATGAAGGGCACACTGGTTGCCATGATGATGATGATCATCACCAGAGCATGGATGAAATGTTGACGAGACATCCCATTACCCAGGAGTCAGATCAAGACCAACCTTGAAAGTCAAGTTAGAGATGTTAGCCTTATCCTGAAGGCCATGGGAGCAACTGCAAAATCTAAAGCAGTGGAGGGACTTTGCACCATCTGCATTCGGGAAGGTCACTCTGGGCCCAGGTAGACCAGTTAGGAAGCTGTGGTTGGGTGTAGTCAGCGTTCCAGACTTTGGCCATTGTGTAGTGGTATCTTGTTTTAATTTGCATTTCCCTGATGACATGTGATGTGGAGCATCTTTTCACGTGCTTATTTTCCATCTGTATATCTTTTTGAGGAGATGTCTATTAAGGTCTTTTGCTCATTTTTTAAACAGGCTGTTTGTTTTCTTATTGTTGAGTTTTGAAAGTTCTTTGTATATTTTGGATAATAGTCCTTCATCAGATCTGTCTTTTCCAACCATATTTCCCAGTCTGTAGTTTCTGTTCTCATTCACTTGACAGCATCTTTCATAGAGCAGGAATTCTTAATTTTGAGCCCAGCTTAGCAGTTATTTCTTTCATGGATTGTGTCTTTGGTGTTGTATTGAAAAGGTCATCAGTAAACCCAAGGTCATCTATATTTGCTCCTGTGTGATCCTTTAAATCTCCTTGACAATCCCTCCATCCCTATTTTACAGAGCCGGGCTTAGAAAGGGTGAGTGATTCTTCAATGCCACTAAGTTAGTAAGTGGTGGGACTGGATTCGAACACAGGTCTGTCCAACCTCAAAGCCAAGCCAGGAGGCTCTCTCCTTACTCTATGGCGGCTGCCTCAGAGCGTGATCAGATTGGCTCTCGTCCAAGGTGGGCCAAGGTCTCTGTCCACACTGAGATTCTAGGTCACAGATTAGAGCACAGAGAAAAATGTGTACTCCCTTTGCCTTTTTGACTCGAAGAACTGCTACTGAATTTTATCTTCCTGTGCCTGAAGGATACTCCTCCCGTGTCATTGTCATTCATCCTTACAAAGGTAGCTCACTGAGGGTGATGACCTCTAGAATTTTGGCTGAACTGGGCAACTGAGCTCCTCATTTTTGCTGGTAGGATTTGAGAGAATTTGGGGGAGATGGTGCATGTCCAAATGGAGAATTAGTGAGGTTTTACAATGTTGTTACGAACTTTATGATGTGAGTTGATTGTTTCATGTAGCCTCATAAAACAAGTCAGAGATGGTGGAGGGTGATTACATCACTCCCCCTGCCCTCCCAACAGAGATGAAGCCTTCTTTAGTGCACGAGAGCTTTCCTGATGCCCCACTCAGGCCAGCCCAGTTTTCAGATTTTAATATGTTCTTGTAATAGTTGTGGAGAAAAAATGAGGAAGAAGGGAGGAAACCCATTGGCCCAACTTGTTGCTCTGCCATTCCTGGCACAGATGAATGACTAACGTCCCAGCAGAGCACCAAAACGTACAGAAACAGGCCTGCTTGGCTTGGATAGTAAATAAATAAGCCGCTTACACCTTTCTTGGATGGCAGGCCAAAGTTTTGTCCTCATAGCAACTCCCCCCATCGTTTGCTCTGCTTACACAGGTTATCAGCCTCTGTTCCAACCCCAAGCTACCTAAGGAGGAGGAGCCGGGTCTTGCTCACTCCTTATTTATAATTAGCTTCAAGTGAGGGAGAGGGACAGGCAGGGTTGCCTCCTGCTCAGGCTGCTTGCCTGAGTTACATCCACAAATGCCTCGGAAGCAGCAGGCTGACTGCATCGTTCTCTTCACATTCCTGGGTCTGTCTGGGCTGGTTGGCTCAGTGACCAGAACATACCACATTGGGATTGTGGAAGAATACTGGAACTATGTACCCCAAGGCAAGAACGTTGTTAGCGGAGGAAGTTTTTCAGAAGACAAGTGAGTAAAGTTGGGGTTCTCACAGACTCCCAGGCTCACTTTTTTTTTTGACTCTGCATGGAGAAAGTTATAGTCCTTGGGATGTTATTGTGGGGGTGACATGATCTAAACCAAGTGGAGGGGCTTTGTGTTTGTTTGGAGAGCCCTCACAAGGATGGGTATGTAATGTGGAAGAGATATTCTTGGCACTGCCTATTTCTTGAGCCTTGTCTGTAAAGTGCTATATACACAACCAGGCGTTTTGAATAATGGCTTATTCTATAGAAGGACAATTTTCACTGAGCACTACTAGGGACTTCCAGGGGGTTCTGGACTCAGTTTGTTAAAAAAAATAATGGCAACCCTTGGAATGAGCATTTGAGAATTTTCCAGAATTCTTTACTGTTAAAACACACTATTTTCTTAGTTTTTATTTTTGGAATGAAACATCATCATTGGAGATAAGTATGCTATAAGTAGTTAAGTTTTGTTTTTGTTTTGCAATGTTTAAAAGAGGGCATTTACAATAGATTTGGCTGGTATTTTAAGAGTTTCCCCAAGTCCTCTTAGAAATGGCTTTTTCCAGCAATGTCCACAAAAGCCAAACTGTGGAAAGAGCCAAGATGTCCATCGACAGATGAATGGATAAAGAAGATGTGGTATATATACACAATGGAATATTATGCAGCCATCAAAAGGAATGAGATCTTGCCATTTGCAATGACGTGGATGGAACTGGAGGGTATTATGTTGA